TTCACTCTAGATTTGAGAGTAGACCCATCATTTTGGCGCCTTCTGTGGGAATTTCTTGAAGGAATTAAGAGCTTTGCACCTAGCTCCGATCTGTCTCTGATGGCTGAGAACGAAGGTTTGCAGAGGAACTTGAATGAGGAGTTTAGGGGGGCTTGGATGGATAGAAGACCACCACCTCTCTCCACCCATAGACCTCCGGTGATACAAGTGTTGGGACTACCACCGTTTGGAGGACTTCCACCTCTGGGAGTAAATCTGGGTGGAGAAACGCCCATTAGTCCACCCGGAGTGAAGCTGCAGGTGTTGACCCTAGTAGGAGCAAGTCAAAACCCCAATCCAAATGAAGGATGAGAGCAAACGGGGATATCTCGACGTGAGGGAAAACAAATCCAGAAGGTGCTGGAGTAGACACTTGCACAACCTCGTGTTGAGGAGCAAACAATGACAATGACGAGAAGTGAATTGCAAAAGATGATAGCGGAAGCTGTAGCAGCTCAACAGAAGCAGACTCAGACCGAGCAACCCAGGGTCGATCTACCTAGGGTCGAGCCACTGAGGATCGAGCAACCAAATTTCAAGCGTGAACAATAGGCTCAGTCCAATGAGAGGCATAACAGGAGGGCGGAAGAGAAATCATCCTCCATCAGTGTTGTTAACCCGCAAGCGTGAGACGAGACACTGGAGTAGTTGTTGGCCAAAGTTCGCGACCTACAGGCCCGGTCGGGGAGAAAAATTGGGGGTTCAAAAGGACATCCGTTCTCACAGCACATTTTGGATGCCGACCTACCACATGGTTTCGGTGATTTAAACATAAGTTACAACGGGTCGACCAATCCATCTCGACACTTGAGGAGTTTCGGGAATATGGCAGTACTGCATCGTTATAATGACGTAGTGCAATGTCGAGCTTTCCTGACAACCTTGCAAGGATCTGCCCAGGATTGGTTCCATCAACTACCATCGGGAGCTATCAAGGACTTTGATGGATTCAACTCGAGTTTCCTCAACCAATTCGCAAGTGTTAAACCTCAAGAGAAGTCGTATATAACCTTGATGGGCCTTCAACAGAAAAAAGGTGCTGCGAGATTATGGCAAGATATACGCGTGCGTGCGTCGATGTGCCCAGGTCGTCGGAGGAAATAAAAGCAGGAGGGTTGACTCGACGGTTGCTGCCAGGTTTGTGCAGGAATTCTTTGGAAAATCACTCGGGTAGAACGTTCGATGAAGTACTGGGGAGATGTGTGAAGTACATGAATGTTGAGGAAGTAGAAGGTTGACTTCTTGTAGGTTGGGCGGCTAAAACTGACTCTCAGGATAAGAAAAAAAAAGAGTTCCTCGACTGGGGAGAGAAAGGGGTCCCCACGAGCAGAAAGAGAAGAGCGATCTAGGAGTTGGAGGTCGATTCATTACACTCCTCTCGCGGCTCCCCATGCTAGGATTCTAGAAGTCATTGAGAGGGAGATTCATGACAACATTGTGAGATGGCCCAAGACGAGGAAGGACGGACCAACGAAGCCCAAAAGCAACATGTATTGTCGATTCCACAAAGATAATGGGCATAACACTGACGATTGCAGACATCTTAAAGACGAGATCGAGAGGTTGATAAGAGCTGTCCATTTGAAAGAATTTATATATAAGGATCGTGAGAGGTCGAGTCGAAGGAGAGAAAGGAGTAAAAGTCCTCGCAAAAGGGCGAGATCACCTGAGAAGGAGGAGCTCCCCCCGAAGAAGGGAATAATTTATATGATCTTTCGAGGGTCGAAAGATGGAGACTCTAATCGGGCAAGGAAGGCGTATGATCAAGGGTGATATGCGAAGGTCGAGGTGAAACAAGTTGAAGAGAATGACCCAATGATGAATTTTGGGCCCGCTGATGTGGGGGATGTCGAAAGGCCGCACAACGATTCCTTAATGATAACAGCCCAATTGTCGGGGTGTGAAGTTAAAAGAGTGTTTGTCGACACATGAAGCTCATTAAATGTGTTTTTTTTACGAATGCCTCAAAAGGATGGAGCTTGACATCCAGCTCACATCACTACACACGTCACTCTTCGGATTCAATGGATCAGAGATCGCACCCTTGGGAGAAACCATGCTCGCTATCGTCCTGGGGGAGGGCGACTTTAGGAAGGTGAAAATGGTACGGTTTGTTGTGGTCGACGTCGAGTCGGCTTATGACGTGATCCTCGGAAGGCCAGCGCTCAATGCCTTTCAAGCAGTAGTGTCATTTTACCATAAGAAGTTGAAGTTTCCCGTCAGAAATCAAGTGGGAGAGGCTCGAAGGGACCAGAAGTTGTTGAGAACATGCTATCAGATCGCGATAAAAACTAACCAGCGAGCTGAAATCAAAGATGGAAAAACGCTGATGTCGAGTGAAAAGAGGCCAAGGAAGAGTGACCTCGAGCCACATGGAGAACTGATGGAAATCCAAATCGGGGAGAAGGAGGACCAAACCACCAAGGTCGGGAGAGAGTTGGAGGGTAAGTTAAGAAAACAGTTGGTGGAGTTTTTGAAGGAATTCAGAGACATATTCTCTTTCTCTCCTGAAGAGTTAACGGGAATCGCCCCGGAGGTCATAGAACATAAACTCAATGCCCCCTCAAAAAACTTTTCTAACAGCGACTTAGGCATCATAGAGCCGAGATCGATAAAGCAATTGAATTCGAGGTTGACAAGTTGCTGAAAGCCAAACACATCAAAGAGATCTAATTACCCGAGTGGATATCCAACACTATGATGGTGAGGAATGCATTGAACAAATGGCGCGTGTGCATCGACTTTCGTGACTTGAACTTGACATGTCCAAAAGATCATTATCCTTTGCCGAGAATTGATCATATAATCGACTCCACGGTTGGTTGCGAGCTACTGAGTATGATGGATGCATCCCAGGTGTATCATCAAATTCTTCTGGCCCCCGAGGATCAAAGAAAAGTTAGCTTCGTGAGAAGAAAATGGACATATTGTTATGTCCTCATGCCCCTTGGGCTCAAGAATGCGGGATCCACCTACCAGCGATTGATGGATCGCATGTTTAAACCACGGATCGGGCAAAATATGGAAGTATTTGTCGATGACATCTTAGTGAAGAGTAAATCTTCGACTTCACACCCAGACGATTTAAGGGAAACATTCAAAACCCTTAGAGCGTTTGGTATGAAGTTGAACCCAAGAAAGTGCGCCTTTGGAGTAAAAGCGGGACGATTTTTAGGTTACGTGGTCACGGAGCGGGGAATTGAGGTGAACAAGGAACAATTGAGGGCCATACTCGACATGGCACCACCAAGAAGCATCAGGGAAGTGCAAGTCCTGACGGGTCGAATTGCCGGTTGATATAGGATATTATATACCCCAAGCTAGACCGGTCTGCTGAACCGGACGGAGAGGTCACATCATGAGTGAATCGAGTCGAGCAATGAGAAGATTAAGCAAAATAAATTGTCGACCGGTCAAATAGTCGACCAACCCTTCGCTCGACCAAACCAACGATCGAGCAACCATATCGACCTCAGCAGGTCGAGCATCTTGCGGACTCAACACTCCAAAGATCGTCCTAGTCACAGGCGCATGTAAGAGACTCCAACCAAATTCCAGGAGAATATTCACCCCATGTGCAGGAGGACACGTGTCAATGATATATTGGGTGATAGTGATAACCACCTCTGACAGCTCCCAACGCCCTGCGCCACCTCTGACATGTGTGCGGCATGTCAGAGTATGGACGGGTAGCTTGGGCAGCCAGCTCATCCTCATCCGGGCAGCTATTAGGGAATGTATCTCACCCCTATATAAAGGGGGTGAGCCTTTTTCCCTTGACACATTCTATTCATTCTTCACTTCAGTATACTCATACACATACTAACTTAAGCATCGGAGGCTCTTCACCGGACACAACCCCCAGTGTGAAAGTTACTTGCAGGTTCTGGCATTCTACCGGCGAGGACAAAGATCGATTCGTCCCAAACCGGACCAGGACGCTCACACTTGCATTATTGGCGCCGTCTGTGGGACTCTTGTTCGAAAGGTTGTGTTTGAAGCTCAGCTATGGCGGACGGAATTGCCAGAACTAACTTGCAGTCGACGTTCGACGACGCTTGGATGACGACCAGGCCGATTGGACAAGGCCCTCCTCCGAGTTTCTCTGGCCTTTCGCAAACTTCGGTCACTCCTACACCAGTCCTCCAGGGTGTGGGAGCGTCGACGGTGATCCCTAGAGTAGGCGTCGGATCCAGTCGCGCCCAGAAAGCTCGCGCAGCAGCCGCGGTGGCGATGCCACCGCCGCCACCACTGAATCCGGCACTGGTGCAAGGAAGAGCGATGGCGCAGGGAGGAACCCCACCACAGGCAGTTGTACAAGCTCCCGATCAGCAAATGGTGACGATGACCCGAGAGGAGATGCAGAAGATAGCGGCGGTCGTGGCGGCGCAGGCGGTGTAGCAAGTTACGAGCCACACATCTCATGCCACCACTGCGCCGACCACGGTGGCCGAAAACCAAGATGAGGATGTATCCAGTTATGGAGAGGGAGGAGTTAGAAGAGATTGGGCGATGGAGAGGATGGCGGAGCAGTTGCGCCAGTTGCAGGACAAGGTGGAAGGGAGGCCAGAGAGGGGAGCTCGAGGACATCCTTTTTCGGGGGAGATTCTCGCTGCTCCTTTGCCGAATAATTTTAAAAAGACCAACTTGGTGTATGACGGGTCTTCTGCCCGTCGAGGCATGTGAGGACCTTTAAGAATATGGCTGTGATGCATGGATATTCTGATTCTGTTTGTTGCAGGGCGTTTCTGTAGACTTTGCTCGGAGGAGCACTTGACTGGTTTCATCAGTTACCCTCTGGGTCGATTTTGTATTTTCAGGATTTTGCCAGAAAGCTTACCAATTAATATTCGAGTGCGGTGGCGCATGAGAAAACGTATTTGACGTTGATGGCAATGAGACAGGGAGAGAAGGAGTCATTGTTGAAGTATGTTGCTTGATATAATCAGACATGATTGGAGGTGCACTCGGCCTCAGATGTGGTGAAGGCGGGAGGATTGATAAGAAGTCATCGAGCAGGGCCTTGCCGAACTTCCCTGGCAAAGACCCCTGCTCGATCATATGAGGAGGTCTTGAAGTGTTGCAGGAAGTATATTAATTTGAAGGAAATAGAGGTAGAGTTTGCAAAGTTGGAAGGGTCGGCTCGACCAGAGCCAAAGAAGGAGCAAAGTCCACCAAGAGGGAGGTCGCGGAAGAAAAGTTCGCCCAAGAGGAGTGGTTCGAAAAAGATATCACCCAGAAGGGCAGGTCGAGATTCTAAGCAAGAGAAAAGGGACGATAGGTGGCAGGGAAGGCCATTGTTGTTCGAGAGACAGAGGTATCATAATTTTACACCCTTGATGAAAGATTTGATAGAGGTACTCGAGGCTATGGAGCATAAGTTGTCGACCGAGGATGTGACGTGGCTGAAGACAAGGTTCACAGGCCCGACTCGACCCAAATCGGATATATATTGTCGATTTCATCGAGATTACGGCCATACCACAGAGAGCTGCAAAAATTTGAAGGATGAGATTGGAAGGTTGATTCGAGCAGGACATTTGAAAGAGTTTGTGTATCATGATAGGGCGAAAGAAAAAGGAAAGAGAAGGTGTCGGGATGATTTGGAGAAAAAGAGTGATAGTGATGAAGAAGGAGATGACGGAGAGGGCCGAGGTGGTCGAGCAAAAAAGCCGAGAAGAGATGGAGATAAAGGAGGCCAGGGAGGAGAAGCCCTGATAAAGAGAGGGACAATTTACATGATTTCTGGAGGGCCAACGGACGGTGACTCGAACAGGGCCATGAAGAAGCATGCTCGAGCTGTGAAGAGGAAAAGAGAGGAGGTGGGGATTATGGCTCATATGCCGGTGATAAGTTTTTAGGCGGAGGATGCCAAGGGAGTGGTCCTACCGCACAACGATGCGTTGGTGATAACCGCGGAGGTTGCAGGCTTTGACGTATAGAGGGTGTTTATTGATACCGGAAGTTCGGTAGACGTGATTTTCTATGACTGTTTTGTGCAAATTAATAAGGAGTTGAATATAGAGTTGAAACCGGTGACCACGGCACTTTATGGTTTTAATGGAGGAGAGGTGATGTCGATGGGAGAGATAAGCTTGCCGATGGCATTGGGAGCAGGAGAGCTGAGGAAGGTACGCATGGTGAGGTTTGTGGTCGTAGGAGCTGAATCATCTTATAACATCATTATGGGCCGGACGAGCTTAAATGCGTTCCAGGCGGTCGTATCCACGTACCACATGACGATCAAGTATCCTGTGGGCGAAAACATAGGGGAGATTGCCGGGGATCAACTCACTTCAAGGAGCTGCTATCAAACAACGGTGAGTAATAACAAGCACCTGGCGAAGAGGCAGGCCAAGTCGAAGGGGGAAGAGGTTAATCGACCAGGTGGGTCGAGGTCAAAAGAGAATAAACAGAGAATGGAGAAGGGTAAGGAGAAAATGAATATCCAGCCAGGAGGAGAAAGTTGAGGAGATTCAGATGATCGGGGGGTGTGAAGAGAGGAATTCAGAATCGGAAAGGACCTGGAGGAGCCTATTCGGTCGAGGCTGATCGATCTGGTTAGGGAGTTCACTGACATCTTTGCCTATAC